GAAATAAATAAAAATGTACATCGAGATGCGTCATTTTTGCAGTATCGATAGCAGTATATATGATGTATTCCACGCCAAAGTGTAAATCCATCTGCAATTGCATCTTCATTTTTTTAGCAAGCCGTTTTCGAGTTATGGAATTTTGAAAATTGGAGAATTTTCATATCTTTAATTTTTGAATGCACATAACTTCCTTAAAAAGGCATCAATTTTAAAAGTCTTTTTTTTATAAAATGTGTGTTTTTAAATGTACTTTTCAAAAAAAAATCTGAAAGTTTTTTTAAACAATATCAGCACAAAATAGGTTGAAATGTCTCACCTAGGTGCAGATTGTGTGACGCCTTTGTAGACCAAGATAGGATTCGCGACCTCTCGGTAGAAGAGTTACTGGACTTTTGGAATAAGATAGGACTCTAAAGAGGGAGACTAGGTTCGAGCTTGCCGGGGTTAGGTGCAATGGGTCTTACGTCTTAAGTACCAACACTCGTACTGGGAGACTTAGGTATAAGCTTGTTTTGGATTCACAGGTGGCTGGAAGGAAAAAAAAGTTTACCTACGATGCCCCTGCTGCTCAATGGTATCAGGTTATTCCATAGCATCCCCTGAGTCGAGAAAAACTTGACCCAAAATCATAGCTGTTCATTTGCGAGAGTATTGCCCCTTTTTAGGGGTGATTCGGTAAATTATTAAAGAAAATTTTTTTAAATGGTTAAAAATGTTTGTAAATTATTTTGACAACTTTTATATAATTCTTACAAATGTTTTTGGTTTTATAGAGCTTCAATTTACATGCATAAAAGGTAAAAAAAAATTTTCTGAAACTTGCATTTTTGAACATTTGGATTTCATAGAAATAACAATTGCAAATAACAAATTTTTAGTGTATTTATCTGTGTAGAAATATATTTCATTTTGTCAATTGTTTTTTTGCATCATTTATTTATAACCTAGTTTGTATTTTTTTAACCCGGCGAGTATGTGGCGCGAAACTGTTACACCGACTATGTGGTGGGCATGACATGCCCTGACTGTAAAATTGCTATTAGAAGTTAGATTTTACTATATTAAGTTAATTTTTGGTATTATATTATAAAAAGGTATCTAATAAATACACTACGATAACTCCAGCTACTCGAAGTGCCAAAACGCCAGAATGAAAATTATAGGAATTAGTATATTTCAAGTAAATATGGGGCATATGATGCCCAACCACATACTCGCTGGGTTAATTTATTTTATATAATTTTATATTATAATTTTAATTAATTTTATTATTTGAGTTAATAATACATCTTATATTATTAATATATATTTTTATTTTTTATAATCATTTTTAACCATTTGAAAAAATCTTTTTTAATAATTTACCGAATCACCCCTAAAAAGGGGCAATACTCTCGCAAATGAACAGCTATGATTTTTGGTCAAGTTTTTCTCGACTCAGGTGATGCTATGGAATCACCTGATACCATTGAGCAGCAGGGGCATCGTAGGTAAACTTTTTTTTCCTTCCAGCCACCTGTGGATTAGAAGGAAATTATGAGCATTCAAAAATTAAAAGATATAAAAATTCTCCAATTTTCAAAATTCCATAACTCGAAAACGGCTTGCTAAAAAAAATTTGAAAAAGTTCATGGAAGCAAGTCTCAATTAGTACTAAAAGAAAAAAAATTCTCAAAAAAATCGGAGATGCAATTGCAGATGGACTTACACTTTGGCGTGGAATACATACATCATATACAAGATAAAGTTTTAGACTTTCATTTATTTTAGTTATCAGTTACAATTATTTTATTTATCAAAAATAAATAAATTAAATTATATAATAAATAATAGGTATAATATATCATACAATAAATAAATTAATTAAATATAAATAGTTGTTTTTAATTCCTATTTTTGCATTAGTATCTCCATGTAGCAGTTCGGGTATTTTTAGTAGTAAAATCCATTTAAAGTTAGACAATTAATTTACAAAATCTACTGAAGTAGATTTAATGCCTGCTTTGCTTGGACACTGAATAAAATGTTTGTAATATTTATCCTAATAGTAAAAATCAGTGTAAGTAGTAAAAATTAGTTTCTGGCAGAGATAATTATAATAATAATAATAATTTTTATTTGGGCAAAATATTTTAATATTCGTGTGTTTTTAGAGTCAGTACTGAAAGACAGTTTAAGTCAGATGATAAATTTGAAAAATTCTTCTAATCGTCAATAGTTAGAGACAATTTTAATCAAGCCGTACGTTTTATATAATTTGCAACCAAAAGTATTTTGCAATAATTACAATAAAAATGAATAACGAAGCTGAAAAACAGTAAGAATGAAATTATCTTTTGCGATTAAAATATAACACAATTTACATAAGATCAAAAACTGTGAAAGAGTTTATGCAAAATTTATGAAAACAATTCACAAAGGTAGTAAAGTTATCATTTATTGCACGATCTCGAAATGAAGAGATAACTGTATAACATTGAACAAAGATGAGCTGCGATAAATTTTACATTTTTATTTTTTTCTCAAAAAGTTATGCAGATCCCATTCTGAAACTTACAGAGGGTCTAGAGGTAAGTATTCACTATCACCAAAAAAATATGAAGTAAAAAAAATGTAATTTTTTTAAAAATCAAAAAAAAAGTTTTTTTGTTAAATATCAACAAAACTTTAAATTAATTTTTGGTGAAAAAATTTTTATTAAAAAGTTTGGCTTTCTATGAACATTTAAAAAAAATTGAGCATAATAGCTTTCATTGATAAAAAATTATGATATTTCAAAAATAGAAGGCTAAAAAATTTCAAAGTTCAATATCTCCTACGTTTATTAAAATTTTTCAAAAAATGCTTTACGATTAAAAGAATCAATTCCTGCAGTTTCATCTAAATTCCTTACCTGAAAGAAATTTCCATGATCACTTACCATGGAATTGCTCTATTGTTATGTTGTTTGAAATAAAAAAAAAATTTCGAATCAACGTTGGTAACCGCAGTCTCATGATTTTTCTGAAATTTGGCATACCTCTTCTAGATAATATTGACTAGTGATTGAACGAAGGATTTTTTTTCTGTTGATTACAAACAATTTTACATGGTCTAAATAGTCCCAAAAATCGTAATTTGTGACCAAAAACTCTGTCAAAAATTCATATTTCAAATGTTTTAATAACCCTTTGTTCAATCACGAGCTATACTCATCTAGTAATAGAAAATAATTGGTTTTTTATTTTTGTTGAAGCAGTCATTAGATATCGTGAGACCGCAAAATCAATTATTTTGGAAAGGGTCATAAAGGACCTGTTGTTTAATTTGTAATATTTATTTACGAAAATCTTATAACTTACTTATTTTATAATGTAAATTAAGGTAACTAAGTGCTCAAATGAAATAATTTATTTATTACATGAAAAAAAATTATGAAAAGACATACAGTTTTCGGCATTTTTGACCCATGTAACCCCTTAATCAATCGGGGTGGGATTTGGTAGAAATTTTTTTTTTATATTGGAACCGAACTGAGTGGTGGCCCAAATAAAATTCGAAAGTAGGCTTTTTTACTGATACCCTAACGAACATGTTAGGTACCTCATAATTTAAGTTAACAACATTTTTCCAAAACCTTCTTCTTAAATTGACCGATATTTCCCTGACTTGTGGCAACTCTGTCTATTTCCAAGGTTTTAAAGTCAACCAGTCACCAGTAAATTTCGATTACACAAATGTTAAACAATGTTTTAAATTCTAGTATTTTTCAGGATAAGAATAGAAATAAGTTAATTTCTTCCATAACATCAAAACAAATTACGCACTTTTAAAAATTGTTTTCTAGTAAGAATAACGTTAATATGTTTGTTAATGATTAAAGATTATTACCGATAATTATTTGGTTTAAGCCTAAGTTGAAAATAAAAAATCGAACAAGTGCGAGTTACACTTGCATTAAAACCGAGGGTTCCGTACCCTTAAACCTAAAATTTGAGGGGGTTAAAGTGTGAAGACCGATGTAAAAATTTCAATTTTGCTTAATTTTTCCTGTAATGTGAGCATGAAAACACATAGATAGAGACGTAGACCGAAAATTATCAGTTTTTCCTTGAGAACGCTATGATTATCAACTCCAATCATGCTCACTATATTTTTTTTGTAATCTACACGTAAAAATACATAAAAATTTATAAATTTGAATCCCTTAAGATAAAATTTTCTTCTTTTTTTATTCGAAAAATCCATGATTTTTTCTAAAAATATGAGTTTTCCTTAAAAACAATATGATCATCAACTCCATTCGTGCTCGCTATATTTTTCCTGTAATCTACACGCAAAAATACGCATTTATACCAAATATGAACTGTCTTGGTTAAATAGTGTGTGCGCTAGGAGGATTAAACGCTTTTTTTCATGTTCATGTTCGCTATATTTTTCCTGTGATTTTGACTTAAAAATACATAAGTGTGCCAAATTTGAGCTCTCTATGTGAAAAGATGTGGCCACCAGGGAGGGGGTACGTAGTCATTTTTAGGGATTTTTCGTCAAAATTCATGGTTTTTCCTTGACAACGCTATGATAATGACGTTTTCAGTTTTTTCAAATTTAATTTTGGCAAAAAAGTAGTTGTTAACTCCTCGAATGTTTAAAAAGTTTTGTTATTGATGAGTTGAGAGTCCTACTTTTTTTAAATGAATAATGCATATTAAGTAAAGAGAGGTCACAGGTACATTGAATTAAATTAAAATTTCATTTATTCTAAGGAGTATTATTTCTTAAATTCAATCAAATTAGATTTCTGCATAAATTTTCTGAAACCATTACGTTATAGCTACTGTAATTACTGGATATTATTGAATTGACATTTGATTCAATTTTTATGAATCTTAAATTTGATTTTTTTGAATTAATAAAATCCCTTTAATTTTAAGTGTAAAATATAATGTAATTTTAAAAATTAAAAGAATTCATAATTGCTGTTTACCGTAGTACGAGAGCCTGCACTTAAGACTCACCTCAAGTTCCTTGTAATCTCGCGTCAAATCATTCCAATCGTTTAAACAAGATTCAACATCAGCGTCCATTCTATTTTTCTAATCCGACACTCTTGTTTTTATGGAATTCCTTCAAAATTTACAGCTCTAACACGCAACGTGTCACTTGCTTAGATTTATTGACAATTAATAGGCCGATTATGAAGGTTGAAATAATTTTTTAATTATTTTCAGAAAGTCATTTTAAGTCGTATCGTAAAAAGAAATAAGTCACGTATTGAGACTTACATTTAATCGATAATATAATGAAAAAATGCAATGCATTTTTTGCAGTACAGTATATCCTTAAAACGGAGCTGACAACAGATGCCAAATACTTTTTCTTGTTTATGAATGACCACAGGTGGGAATGCGTGCAGTTGAGTCACAGTCACTGAACTCTATGGTTGGTTTCTATTGTCCCCACTCATACGGAAGCGCCTACGAGTCACCAGCGAACTATCTTGTTCGCGTCACATTTTTAAGGTGCTTATATACCTCAAATTTCGATCAGATGAACATTATTTCTGGACCGTGAAAATGCGTGAAAAGTCATTTTCACGGCGGGTATTTTAGAATTGTTTTATACAAAAAAGGTTTTTTTAAGAAATATAATATTAAATAATTGTTTTAATATGTAAGAACACTTTAAAATAGTGATAGAAAGATGATTTGATTACAAAATTTAGCAAATTTTGCTTTAAAACGTTTTCTGCTACAAGAAAGTATAAAATGACGATGTTTGTGAAATGGTTTGTACAGTGTACATGTTTACATGTTTCTTTCAGTTATTCGAAACAATTAGTTGAATTTAAATTTATTTGATAAACATTTCAACTCACCGATTTATTTTCAGCACTCATTATTTATTACAAGTTAAAAAGAACCGACATAACATAAACAAAACTCTGAGAAACACTCACAAGGAAGAAGCACTGTACAAACCATTTCACAAACATCGTCATTTTATACTTTCTTGTAGCAGAAAACGTTTTAAAGCAAAATTTGCTAAATTTTTTAATCAAATCATCTCTCTATCACAATTTTAAAGTGTTCTTAGATATTAAAACAATTATTTAATATTATATTTCTTAAAAAAACATTTTTTGTATAAAACAATTCAAAAATACCCGCCGTGAAAATGACTTTTCACGCATTTTCACGGTCCAGAAATAATATTCATCTGATCGAAATTTGAGGTATATAAGCACCTTTAGCTGTGAAACCGAGGAACGCGTTCGATGGTTTCGCTGTTTCCTTGTTTTTGAGTGACGATAAAACACACTATACGGTTCGATAGTTCGATGGTTCTCTGGTTTTACTTAGTTCTATCGTTATCGAAGTCTAAATTTTGTATTAAAAAAATAAATTTAAATTTAAAAACCGAAATATAATAATATATTTAAATTATATATTTGAGATATATCAGATATCTTATAATATGTGCCTAAAAAATTATTTTATTTAAAAATAATAGTACAAAATATTAATAGTATAGTACAAATATAAAATGCAAACAAATCAACTTACTTCAAAATAATATTTTGTACTATTATTTTTAAATAAAATAATTTTTTAGGCACACATTATAAGATATCTGATATATCTCAAATATATAATTTAAATATATTATTATATTTCGGTTTTTAAATTTAAATTTATTTTTTTAATACAAAATTTAGACTTCGATAACGATAGAACTAAGTAAAACCAGAGAACCATCGAACTATCGAACCGTGTAGTGTGTTTTATCGTCACTCAAAAACAAGGAAACAGCGAAACCATCGAACGCGTTCCTCGGTTTCACAGCTAAAAATGTGACGCGAACAAGATAGTTCGCTGGTGACTTGTAGGCGCTTCCGTACACTCACCATTAGTCACAATTCTCGTCAACTACCGCACACTGCTCTAGTAAATATTTAGTGACTTTATTACGGAAGCCTGTACGGCTCACGAGCGTCTCGGACGCAAGTGGCACGAAGTCCGTCCAACTTGTGGCAAGTTCGTTAGTTCGTGCCACTTGTGGAAAGTGGATTTTTTGAAGGGTCATTCACAAATATGACAATTCCGTTGGATTCTGTTGCCGTCTATTTCGTCAGTGCTTTTCATTTCAAGTATAATTTCATCCGGGCAAGTCCGTTTAATGTTTTTGAATAAAAATGAATTTGTTATTTTTTAATTGAAAATATATGTAAAAGATTACATTTCAGTGTAAACAAATGATATTGACATCTTTATTAATCTTAAATATTCATAAAAATATACTTCTGATTTTAAAAAATAAAATCCTCTTCATGTATTTTAAATTAAAAAATGACAACATAACCAAAAAATCTTATTTTTATTCTAAACTAAGAAAAATTAAAAAAACACCGCCACTTGCGTCCGAGACGCTCGTGAGCCGTACAGGCTTCCGTACTTTATTGATAAAATTAAAAGTTGACGAAAATTATGACAAATGAGTACGGACAATTGAAACCAACCCTATGGCCGTTTCCGAATTGGGATGTTTAGCGTACTTTTGATAAAGTGTATTAGGCTGTATCAGTTCATCGAGATATTTCGAGTTCAAGATATGACGTCAGAGGCCTGAAGGGACAACAAACAGACGACACAATGTTATTCTTATGGGGAAGAAAATTAGTTTCCACTTTCATCAATTTTATTCATACTTTAAACATGGAAAACGCTTGTTGACATATAATAAAATTAAAATGTGTGTTGATAATTAATTTTGTTATATATTTGATTCAATTGCATTTATAGATTCTCTGAATTCGTGATAAAATATAAATTTTGAGGTTAGGGGTGTTTGTTTACTAATCACATTTTACATTTTAACAACATCATTAAACAACATCCAGTATGCATGTTATTAAGGCTGCAGTCCCATGGCAGCGTTTTGCGTTGCGTTTTGTCACTAGACCCTGAGTGTAAACATAGCAAACATATATCTGCATCTCTTTTACACTCATGGTCTAGTGACAAAACGCAACGCAAAACGCTGCCATGGGACTGCAGCCTAAAGGCCTTTCTCCAATAGGATCCTAAACTCTTGCGTTGCGTATGCATTGCGTCGGTTGCTATTGGCAACCAATGCTAAAATCAACGCGTCAGTCACGCAACGCAAAAGTTTAGGTTCCTATTGGAGAAAGGCCTTGAAGGCCTTTTTCCAATAGGAACCTAAACTTTTGCGTTGCGTAACTGACGCGTTGATTTTAGCATTGGTTGCCAATAGCAACCGACGCAATGCATACGCAACGCAAGAGTTTAGGATCCTATTGGAGAAAGGCCTTAAAAAGATATAAAAATGTTTGCGTTGCGTGATTGACGCGTTGGTTCGCGAACAAAAAGTTTGGTTTATTATATTCCTCTTATCGCTTTGTTCCAAATTAAAATTTTTTAATCCACATGTTTCTCGACAGCTTTTAATAATTTTAATTATTTAATATTTATAATTAAAAAATTCAGTGTCTTAAAATCATAAACCAAATTTTTTGATCGTAATTGGTATCAATGCTTTGATGACGTCACTGCGCTTGCGAACCAACGCGTCAGTCACGTAACGTCATCATTTAGGAACCTATTGGATGCTGACTCTACATTGGCTGCGCAAACGTGTACGTGAACGTGAACGTGCTGACGTCACAATGTTATTCAAATGGGTGACGTCAGCACGTTCACGTTCACGTACACGTTTACGCAGCCAATGTAGAGTCAGCAGGAGAAAGGCCTTCACCGAACGGTCAATACGTCGAACAGACAAAATGTCGAATGGCAAATTGTCGAACGGACAAAATATCGAACAGACAAAATGTCGACAAGCCAATACGTCGAACGGACAAAATGTCGAAAAGCCAAAACGTCGGACAGCCAATACGTCAAATAGACAAAATGTCGAATATTTTTGTTGAAGTGAGTATAATTATACTTACTTCAACAAAAATATTCGACATTTTGTCCATTCAACGTATTGGCTGTTCGACGTCTTGGCTTTTCGACATTTTGTCTGTTCGGTTCGACATATTGACCGTTCGGTGAAATAAAGCGTCTCCATTCTGGGTGTTCTCGAGAGTTGCTGTAAGTATACTGTCAGTATGTTGTGATTGGCTGATCCATCAGCATTTTTGTTCTGATTGGGTAATTTTTTACTGTCAGTATACTGTCAGCAACTCCCGAAAACACCCTCTGTATGCTAAATATGAAACGAGCTTAAGTTGCCTCGTTGCGAGAGGTGGCGCGTAGAAGCTTCCGTAACTGGGGGGGCGACTTAAATGTATATAACTTTGAAAATTTCAGTTACATGACCACATGTTTAATTGAATAAAATAATATTAGTATCAACTTTAAATGAAATGTTATATAGAAATTACATTAAACACATTAATTTAAAAGTTTTTCGATATTTGTCAATTCAACAATTGTATTGAGCATTTAAATTTCCCTAGGAAATTTACCAGAAGCAGACAAGTGCTCACGAAATTTTATGTATTATTGACTCATCCTGATTTTTATATAAACCTTGGTAAAATGTTCTCTTTTTTTGGTCCAAATACATTTAAACACACATGTGCATGCACGTGCAGTCCAATTCTGCATTAAGTGCTACCGTTTTTTCTCAGCTCGGATCTTTTAGTACTTGGAATTGCTCGAGTGGTAAGAGAGATAGTGTCACGAAAATCGTAAACGGCGTAAAGGAGTTTTCTTTTTAAAAAAAGAGCAGACATTAACCAGAGCCGCGGATATTGGACTCAGTTATCTCCTCGTTAGTTCTATTGGTTGTTTGCACGTATGTACATGTTACTTTAAGTCGATCAAAAGTTTCACAACGTTTCTTGTTGAATCGTGAGATATTGAGAAGTGTGTGTAATTTACAAGTGAATCTTTCTTCAAATCAAGAATCGAATCATTGTCTCTGGCAGAAGAATCAATTCTGCAATCGCTGAAATCAGATAAAAGCATGACTCTGGGTTCTCAATTGGAAGCAGGAGAGCATGGAGAAAAAGGGACTCTTAAAATTCCCCTGACCAACGGAAAGAAGAATGAAGCAGAGACCGGTAGGAATTCTTTTTTCAAAAGTTTTTTTTACTATTTTTTCCATATCTTTAGAGAGGTTACTCCCATTTCTCTTGAACCTTTATTTTTTACGAGCTGATAGAATAATTTATAAATATAAACATTAACAATAGTTAATAGAGGCATAATCAAGTATCAACTTCGTTCTTTGACTTGAAAAGTCATTTTTCTCTACTTCTTTTGCTGTGAGTTTTGCGAAAAGTGAGCCGGCCACCCGGTGTTATGTAACGTGTATTGCTCCAATCTGAGGTCGGTCACGCGAGCCATAAGTTTTCCGCGCAATCTTGCATTGTCTCTCACTAACAACTTCTCACGCAGTCGCAGTGACCGAGTAGCAGAAAACTGTTGACCAATCGGCGTTCCCTATTGACTGGAAATTCTTTCAAATTCTATTTAGCAAAATATTCGATTGGCTGCTATCTTGTTTCCAAGTCTTCTGCTCTTACACCTAAATGAGCAGAAGACAATTTATCAGACAAATCATTTCAGTTTTATAAACAAATTTTTTCTTCATTTACAAACTGCAAAATTTATAATTATTGATAGAAAATATTTGTTGCTTCATTAAATTTTCACTATTCTTTAACAGTATTGCATGCTTGTAACGAACTCTGTAAAATTATTATGAAACAATTTTATTTTTTTAATATCATGGTATCATTTTATTATTTTTTATGAAATAAGTACAAACAAAATTTATGTTAAGAAATGTTATTAAGTAATGATGGTTCTTGTGAGAATAATTTTTTTTTCTTTACTATTGTACATTTTTGTCTTGAAAAAGTTAGTCATTAATATAAAATAGAAAAAAAATTGTTTTTGAATCTTTTATTTAAATTTTTTTTTCCTTCAAATATTGAGAATTATTCTAAATAAAAATTTCTTTGAAAGATTTGACTCAATTATTATCTTTTTATGTGTCTTAAGTTAATTGATAAAATGCAAATATGTTATTGTTTAAAAATAAATTAGCTATAAAATAACTAATTACCTAGCAGTAATTTTATAAAAGTATTAGATAACAAATGCATAATTTTCTGCCATTTTAGAGTCAAGCCTTTATTTTTTTTCTTTTGTTTATAAATAAACTAAACAGTATTAAATTATACTTATTAATGAGCCAAAAATTTTGGACGTTCAAATGAACAAAATTTATTTTGTAACTTCTTTAAGTACGAATTTTATTACAAAATATTGTTTTAAATATCTAAAAAGAAGTTATTAATTTAATATTTGTTTAATTTACTGTTTTATTTTACATTGACACTATAATTTTTAATAATTTATAGATTGAAAAAAATATTTTGTTCATTTGAACGTTCAAAACTTTTGGCTCATTACTTCTTAAACAATAAATGTCAATTCTGATGATTATTTTATAAACAATATTAACTAACAAATACATAAATTCATCAATTTTTTACGATAGCTATATATATATATATTTGATTATAATTTTTAAACACATTCTCCCTCTTTTTTGAAGCGCAAAAAAATCATGATTATTGTTTTTCAAGTGATAATAAATCGATAGTTAAATTTTTTAAATATTTTTTGTTTTGAGATATTAATTAATTAATTAACAAAAATTTATAAAAATGAAATATTTTATTCACAAATAAAGTTAGAATAATTTTAAAAACGCCTTTCCAATGATTATAGAAATTCGCATCCAACAAGACCAATATCAACTATTTCGGATAAACGGACGGTTTAATTTATAATTAATTATAAAAATTATTTTAATAATTAATTACATTTGAAGAAATGAAGATAAACTGTAAATTATTATTTTTATTTGAAGATAATTTAATTTTAAATAAAAGATGTTTTTTTTCATTTTTCATTTTAATCTTTCAAAGAAATTTTTATTTAGAATTATTCACAAGATTTGAAGGAAGAAAAAATTTTAATAAAAGATTCAAAAACAAAAATTACTGCCACTCGTTCAATTTGCAATATTTTTCAAAGAGAATTTAGGAGAATATACTTCAAATATTTTATTAATATGTGAAAATTAAGTTAATAAAGTAACATACTTTATATCACCGAAAAAAATTAGTAAAAAAGTGCCTTTTTACACCGAATTAACCATACCCCCCCTTAAACGAAAAATCATTTAACTCTCGCGTGCCTGAGCTGGGTCCCTCGGACCCAGACAATTTGCTTCTTCATCTACTTCTATTTAAGAAATTTTTTTTCAAAATCATTATCAAATTAGATAAGCTGATGCTATAACGTACATATAAAAAAGGAAGAGAATTTTTTTATATAAAACTCTTTCTAATACATTATTTTATAGCTCTTATGTACGTAGTTGCCTGAGCTGGGTCCCTCGGACCCAAACAACTTCTTTTTCATGTACTTCAACATATTCGCTTGAAAATCGTTATTCAGGGGTTTTCAAGGCTTACGAATCTGATATTAGTAAATTGTATTGATTTTTAATTTTCCTGTCCGCCATATTGGATCCGATGATTTTAAAAATCGTGTCGAAATCTTTCTGATTATTGTTAGACGCCTCCCGTTCATATAATACTTATTGAAACTGCAATGCAATATAAGTCTTATTCAAATTTTCGTGCCATATAAGTCTTATTGAAAGTTCAGTGCTATATAATTCTTACTCAAGTTTCCCTGCAATACAATAAAATATTTTTTGGTTAACAGAATGATATGCTCAAAATAGTTTGAGATATATTTAAAAAGTAAATTAGATATAAAACGCGTTTCATTCATGCGTATTATCAATTATGGGACCGTTTACAAATTACGTAACGTTTTTCTGGGGGAATTTTAACCCCCCCTCCCCAACTCCATGTAACACACTGTTACATATGTACTTTAGCGCCATTTTTTTTGCTGATCGTAACAGATAACTTGACCCCCCCTCCTCTTTAAAATGTTACGTAATTCAAATGTTTCATTTCAAGAAAAAGTAAAGGCTCAGAATGCGAGTAGTTAAGAAGAGTAGCTCGAATTAGGAAAAATTATTTCTAATTTAATTACTGTGATTACTGTTAAATCTGATTATTGAATTTTAAAGATATGTTGTTTTTTCTATTTTTGGTCCTAATATTTTTTATTCTTTTACCTATTGTTCATGTTCATTCAATTTCAAGAACTTATTTAAAAAACATTTTGTTATTAATAACATAAACAATAATTTGCAATAAATAATAATTTTGTTGTTATTAGAAAAATATTTATTATTATTGTTATTATCAATAAAAATAAAAATTCAAAAAAAAAAAATAATCAAGAACCATTCTCATGCAAATGACTTTTAGTTATTGCAACATTTGCTCCCAATAGGGAATTTTGAAATTTGTCCCTCAGTTTAAAATCAGTAGCACAAAAATTTTCCGGAATGTAGTTAGTTTCCTTCAGAATAAAATATTTGCGTTGTAATATCCATTTATGTGATTAGTTCTAGTACATTACATTTTTGAATTTTAAATTCAGAATCTTAATGAGAATCACAGAATTTGTAGCATAAATCTGCTAAGGGGTACAAATTTTCCTTCTGAAAAATGTAAATAGTCTATTACATAGGGAGCGTTCACAAATTACGTAACATTTTAAAGGGGTGGGGGGTCAAGTTATCTGTTACGATCAGCAAAAAAATGGCGCTAAAGTACATATGTAACAGTGTGTTACATGGGGTTGGGGAGGGGGGTTAAAATTCCCCCAGAAAAACGTTACGTAATTTGTGAACGGTCCCATAATTGATAATACGCATGAATGAAACGCGTTTTATATCTAATTTATTTTTTAAATATATCTCAAACTATTTTGAGCATATCATTCTGTTAACCAAAAAATATTTTACATTAAATATTAAATAAGAATTATATTGTTCGCAATTTTGAATAGGAATTATATATCAAGGAAATTTAAATAAGAATTGTATTGCACAGAAACTTGAATAAGAATTATATAGCACTGAACTTTCAATAAGACTTATATGGCACGAAAATTTGAATAAGACTTATATTGCATTGCAGTTTCAATAAGCATTATATGAACGGGAGGCGTCGGTTTGTTCGTCTATTTGCAATTTCAGACAAATGAAAATTCTATATTCTATAATATATTATGGAAATTATATCAAATAATACTAATAATAATAAACAAATGAAAATTCTATGCAATGAAATTCTACTTAATAAAAATTCTTTAAAATGCCCATTATGGTAAATGAAAATTCGAGCAAATAAAAATTCTATGAAGTAAATTTTCAGTTATATAGAAATTCTTTAATATAGAAAATCGTTTTGATGAAACTTCTGCAAAATACTAATTCAAATAAATAAAAATTCGACTCAAAAATAATTATGATAAATGAAATTCCATAAAATGAAAATTCTAAATAATAATTTTTAGAACATAATCATGCGTCCCGTTATTTAGAGAAAGACTGAAAAATACTGTCTCAAACAGGTAGGCAGCCTCCCCCAAGTTGTACCGTAGGGTGCAGGGTGAACGATATTCAATAATCATTTATTAATATTTCGGACTATTAAAAATTCTATTTGAATAAGTTTTTCTTGATTCAGAATCAAATGACCTACCAAATAAAAAAATAATTGATTATTTATCTTCATACCTTTAGACGTTATTAATTATTTAAATAATTTTTATTTTCAAATATTAATTTAACGGGACGCATGAAAATGTTCTAAAATTCATTAGTTAGAATTTTCATTTTTTGGAATTTCATTTGTCATAATTATTTTTGAGTCGAATTTTTATTTGTTCGATTTAGTATTTTGCAGAATTTTCATCAAAACGATTTCCTATATTAAACAATTTTTATATAACCGAAAATTTACTTCGCAGAATTTTTATTTACTCGAATTTTCATTTAACATAATAGGCATTTTAAAGAATTTTTATTGAGTAGAATTTCATTGCATAGAATTTTCTTTGAGTTGAATTTTCATTTGTTCGAATAATTATTTGATGTAATTTCCATATA